CATTAAAATTTTTTTTTTAAAAAAAGAAAGAAAGAAAAACAAAGCAGGAGGCACCACAATTCCAGACCACAACTTGTATTACAAAGCTGCAATTATCAGGACAGTATGGTACTCGCATAAAAAGAAACATACAGATCAATGGAACAAAATAAAGAACCACAAATGGACCCAAAACTATATGGTCAACTAATCTTCAACAAAGCAGGGAAAAATATCCGATGGAAAAAAAAGCTCTTTAACAAATGGTGCTGGGAAAACTGGACAGCAACAAGCCAAAGAATGAACCTAGACCACTTTCTTACACCACACACAAAAATAAATTCAAAATGGACCCAAGACCTAAATGTAACACAGGAACAAAATCCTAGAAGAGAACACAGGAAGGAAACTTCTCTGACGTTGGCTGTAGCAAGGTGTTACTTAACATGTCTCCAGAGACAAAGGAAACAGAAGCAAAAATGAACAATTGGGACCTCATCAAATAAAAAACTTCTGCATAGTGAAGAAAACCATCAACAAAACTAAGAGGCAAATGACAAAATGGGAGAAGATATTTGCAAATGACTTATTAAATAAAGGGCTAGTATCCAAAAATCTATAAAGTACTGATAACTTATCAAAGAAGTTTCTCCAAAGAAGACATACAAATGCCTAACAGACACATGAAAAAAATGCTGAACATCACTTATCACCAGGGAAATATAAATCAAAACCATAATGAGACACCACCTCACATCTGTCAGAATGGCTAAAATTAACAACTCAGGACACAACAGATGTTGGCAAGGATGTGCAGAAAGGGAAACCCTCTTACACTGCTGGTGGGAATGCAAACTGGTGCAGCTACTCGGATAGTATGGAAGTTCTTCACAAAGTTAAAAATAAACTACCCTGTGACCAAGCAATTGGACTACTAGGTATTTACTTACTCAAAGGATACGAAAATGTTGATTCAAATGAGCACATGCACCCCAATGTTTACAGCAGCATTACCAACAACAGCCCAATTATGGAAAGAGTACAAACGTCCATCGACTGATAAATGGATAAAGATGTGGTATATATATACAATCAGCAATCAAAAAGAATAAAATCTTGCCACTTGCAATGATGTGGACGGAGTGAACTAGAGTGTATTACACGAAGCAAAATAAGTCAGAGAAAGACAAGTACCATATGATTTCAGTCATATGTAGAATCTAAGAAACAAAAAGATGAACATGGGGGAAGGAAGGAAAAATAATAATACAAAGGAAGGCAAACCAGGAGACTTTTTTTAATGGTTAAATTTTTTTAACTTTTTTTTTTAAGTTTATTTGTTTATTTGGAGAGAGAGAGAGAGAGAGGGAGGGACAAAGAGAAAGGGTAGAGTGAGAATCCCAAGCACATTCCACAGTCAGTATAGAGTGTAATGTGGGACTCAAACTCATGAACCATGAGATCATGACCTGAGCTAAAGTTGGATGCTTGACCAATTGAGCCACCTAGGCACCCCCATAAGACTCTTTTTTTTTTTTTTTTAACGTTTGTTTATTTTTGAGACAGAGAGAGATGGAGCATGAACAGGGGAGGGGCAGAGAAGAGAGGGAGACACAGAATCTGAAACGGGCTCCAGGCTCTGAGCTGTCAGCACAGAGCCCGACGCAGGGCTCAAACTCGCAGACCGTGAGATCATGACCTGAGCCGAAGCTGGACGCCTAACCGACTGAGCCACTCAGGCGCCCCAAGAGAGACTCTTTTAAAGACAAACTGAGGGTTGATAAGCGAGGTGGGTGGGGGATGGGCTAAATGGATGACAGGCGTAAGGAGGGCACTTGTGATGAGCACTGAGCATGGTATGTAAGTGATGAATCACTAAATTCTATTCCTGAAACCAATACACTATGTGTTAACTAACTTGAATTTAAGTAACTGGGAAGAAAAAAGTGAAAGAAAGAAAGAAAGAAAGAAAGAAAGAAAGAAAGAAAGAAAGAAAGAAAGAGAGAGAGAGAGAGAGAGAGAGAGAGAAAGAAAGAAAGAAAGAAAGAAAGAAAGAAAGAAAGAAAGAAAGAAAGAAAAATTTAATGCAACTATAATTCACATCATCACCAGATTTTACTTTTAGAACCTCAACAACTGACTCTTCTGTTCAAATGGAAAAACACACAAGAATGGTCAAGAAAGCTCAAAAAAACAGCACAAGTGTGGAGGAGAATCGACCCTACTAAATGTTAAAAAAAATATTACACAAACCGAATAATAAAAATCATGGGCACTGGCATGAATCATCAAACCACTCCAGAGAAGGCCCAGAAACAGACCCAAACACAAATAGAAACACTCAGTACCTGAAAAGGCAACACATCAAATTAGTGTTGGAAAATTTAAGTTTTTGGAGCACCTGGTAGGCTCAGCCAGTTAAGCATCCAACTTTTGATTTCCACTCAGGTTATGACCTCACGGTTCATGAGATCCAGCCCAGTCCTGTGTTGAGATCAAGCTACACATCGGGCTCAGTGCTGACAGCATGGAGCCTGCTTGGGATTCTCTCTCCCACCTCTGTCCTTCCCCCAGCTCACACACATGCACGCTCTCTCTCAAGATAAACAAACATTAAAAAAACAAAGAAAGAAAAAAGAAAAGCTGAGTTTTTAAGAAATGGTATTGATCAATAGGAAAGCTTACCTGAATGCAAAAACTAAAACCATAAAGTATGAAAAGGAACAATTGGGGGCGGGGATTCTCTAGAAAAGACCTTTCTAACTTTGTAACTCAGAATCCAGAAGTCATAAAAGGAAACACTTGAGGGGCACTGTCTGGCTCAGTGTGTAAAACATGCAACTCTCAATCTCCGGGTTTTGAGTTTTGAGCCCCATGCTGGGTAGAGTTTACTTTAAAAAAAGGTTGGGGCGGGGCAGCGGGGGGAGCGCCTGGGTGGCTCAGTCAGTTAGGCGTCCAACCTCAGCTCAGGTTATGATCTCGTCCAAATCCACCTCAGGTTATGATCTCGCAGCTTGTGAGTTCAAGCCCCACATCAGGCTCTCTGCTGTCAGCACGGAGCCTGCTTCAAACCTCTCCCTCCCTCCCTCTCCCTCTCCCTCCCTCTCTCTCAAAAATAAATAAATATTTTTTAAAAATAGAAAAAAAAGAAAAAAATTGAGAAATCATATAAAAATCAAAAACTTTAAGCACTTGAGTGGCTCAGTCAGTTACACATCCGACTCTTGATTCTGGCTCAGGTCAAGATCTCAGAGTTACGGAGTTTGAGCCCCGAGTCAGGCTCTGTGCTGAGTGCAGAACCTGTTTGGAATTCTTTCTGGTCTCCCTCTCTCTCTTCCCCTCCTCCACTTGTGCTCACATGCTCTATCAAAATAAACTTAAAAAAAAAATCAAGAACTTGTATAATCAAGTCTCGTAAGTAATTTCTGATAACAAATGACAAACTAGGAATGAGACCTGGTATCAAATCAATAAGGAATAATCTCCCTAATACAGGGGCACCTGGCTGGCTCAGTCAGAAGAGCATCTCTTGATCTCAGGGGCCAGGAGTTGAAGCCTCACAATGGGGGTAGAGTTAAAAAAAAAAGAAGAAAAAAAAAGAATACAAAAAACAGCTCTGGAAATAAGAAAATTGTGAAAACAAACAAAAACCAGATCCCATAGAAAAATGGCCTAAGTACACAAACAACTCACAGGAAATAAAAATGGCCTTCAAATATATAAAGACACGGTCACCTTCACTCTTAAAAGACATGCAACTAGAATTACTAGATACTGGTACCGTTTCTCATCTATCTGACAGACAAAAATCCACAACTTTAATAATATAGTATGTTGTTGCTATAGGAAAACAGGTACTCTCATACACAGCCGGTTAAAGTGCAAACTGCTGCCAATCCTTTTGGAAGGCAGTACAGAAATACTCCTCAAAATCAAACATGCCTCATCTTTGACACAGTAATACCACTTCTGGAATTTTCCCATGCACCTGCACAGGACAAAGTAAGTTCAAAGCTATTCATTACAGTACTGTATCATTTACAATAGGAAAATTAAGAAAACCCATTCTACCACAGGATGGTTAAATAAAACCACGTTACTGCCACATAACTGAAGTCCGTGCAGTTGTTAAAAAGAACAAAGCAACATTCTGATGAATACGTAAAGATCTCCAGGTAGTTGGGTAACAAAAAGCAAGGGCGTGACAGTGTGTATTTTGTACTACCTTTTATGAAAGAAATATGGAAAAAAACTATTTCCATACTGTATACCTATACACAAAACTGGAAGGATCTACAATACAAAAAAGTGAAGTCATTACTTATGGAGACAGAGTAGATGAGTGCAAAGGTGAAGTTAAGACCTACTGATGTATAACTTTTTATACTGTTGTGATTTCTGAAACATGAAAATGTATAAAACATTACTCATTCAAAACAGAAAGTTTAAAAATGGGGGCACCTGGGTGGCTCAGTCGGTTAAACATTCGACTCTTGATTTCAGCTCAGGTCATGATCTCATCAGGGTTTGTGGGTTTGAGCCCCACATGGGGTCTGCTTGGGATTCTCTCGGCCCCCCACTCACTCTCTGTCCCTCCCTTGCCTGTATTCTCTCTCTCTCCCTCTGTGCCCTCCCCTGTTCCTGTTGTCTTTCTCCCTCTCTCTGCCCCCCACCTGCTAATGTTCTTTCTCTATAAATAAGCCTTAAAAAAATAAAAACAGGGGCACCTGGGTGGCTCAGTTGATTGAGTGTCCAACTTCAGCTCAAGTCATGAACTCACAGCTCGTGGGTTCGAGCCCCACGTCAGGCTCTGTGCTGACAGCTCAGAACCTGGAGCCTGCTTTGGATTCTGTGTCTCCCTCTCTCTCTCTGCCCCTCCCCCGCTCACACTCTGTCTCTCTCAAAAATAAATAAAACATTAAAAAAATAAAAATAAATAAATCAAGTTTAAAAATAGATTAAAAAGAAAATTTCTCTTCCCCCACTTCGGTCCTTGGATTTAGCACATGCTTTCAACCTACCCCCTAGGGGATGGAGACCTAGAAGATTTCCTTTTTACAGTTTTTGATGTTCTTGGTGATCTGGAAGAACTCCTGCTTCTCCTCCTACGCCTTTCCCTGAAAGATGAAAATATGTCATTTAAAAATATAGCAATTTAAATACAGGACAATTCAAATATACAAAAGAAAAGAATCCTTAATGCTCTCAAGTGAACAGTATTCTTAAAAGGTTAGTTTAAACTCATGTTATCTCATTTCAGTGCAGGTCAAATTCGGAGCAATTTTATAGACATGGAAAATATGTTCTAAGATTTCATAATAGAAAAGGTAGAAGACCTTCTTTTCATCTGGTTTATGTGAACAATAATTTCCTGAATAGAAAGAATATTAGATGTTTCTGATTCTCTCAAGTAGGTTCTTCCTCAGCATCTAAAACATTTTTTATGTATCCAGATCCTCTGTCATGCTTCTAGCTCCTCGCTGCCCCACTGTGGATTATTTCTTAACAAGGTAATAGGCCCTTTTCAAGAACTAAAAGATTAAGTTGGCTTGTAAAAAGTGAACTTATCAGATCTGAGCATTTAGAATGTCTCTAAAAAAGTATTTACATTAATTCACTTTACAGAGAAATTGTTTTACCTTCCAACTTCCTACCATTTTATTACTCTATTCATTTAAAACTGAGTGCACAAGTTGCTAAGACAAAAGTAAAACAGTTAAAGCCTGGGGCTTAAATATGAAATAAAAAATAACTACTACCTTGATTAACATTGTTTAGTATTATTAAAAACTATTTTGCTTAACTTGTTAGCAAATGATGCATATTCAAAATTACTTCATTGAAAACCTGGCCAAATGAGAAACAATGAATTTCAAGATGTCCATAATTCAGGGGATAAGATAGGGGAACATACTAATTACAATTAACGTGTCTAACGACCTATCTCACAAGAAGCCCTGATTATTAGGCCATATAGGTGAAAGAACCAAATCCCCTAGAATTCAAGTCCTCCATACCACTTCAGCAAGAAGATTCTAGGCTAATAAAACATTTTGCCAACATCTCTCATTATAAAATATAAAAAAAACTAGATAATGCTCAGATGTGGTAGATACAGATGTTTAAAAAAAAACCTCAAGACCTTTGGAAACACAATTCCAATTCTACCTAAGGCTCTCTCATCCATTACCCAATTTTAGTTCCATGACACCCCAAAATTACACATCCTGACTAAAGTGAAAATTAGGTAACGATATTCCATTCAGTTAATGCCATGTCTTAACAGCTCAGCACAAGTACGGGAGGTAGTTATCTCACAGCATGAGAATGTCAGTGTATCTTACTTGTTTACACAAAATGATTCTACTCTGACCAGTTTAAGTCTTCACTCAAGAAGCACTATGTACAGGGGGACATCTAATGACTAATACCTGATGTCATTGAGAGCTAAGGCTGGAAAGACAGCAATCTAGAGTGTCAATTTGTTGAGAAAAAAGCAGTCAGCTGTAGTTTGAAGAACTGTAGTTGGTTAGACTTAGATTGAAACTTTGGTTCCACACCTTATCAGCTGCATAACTAGGGTCATATTACATAATCTGAGTTTCAATTTTTCCAACTGGAAAACGGAGTTAATAACTCATGCCTTGTGGTGCTGTGATGAGGATTTAAGATAATACTTGTAAAGCACCAAGTACAGTCTCTCGCACAAACCCAGTGTCAATAAATATTTTCTGCTTAAACATCAAAATTTTTTTTAAAAATGCAGATTAGGGGACAATCTTGAAAATAAAAATACCAAGCACACTCTTTTTCTGAGCAGTTAAAATGTTTCCTGTGTACTCAACAATTCAGAGCACATGAGAAACAGAAAAACGCTAAAAGCTAACAAACTGTAACTCTTCGCCAAGCTCTTGTGAAAGCATGAAACATTCCAAACTTCTGAACCTTTAGAAACGGATGTCAGTCAGCGTTTATTCTCCAGGCCCCAGGGGCTAGTTAAGAATATATTTAAGAATGAATGTGAATATCTGAACTTTCTTGAATGTCAAGCAACTTAAAATGGCCCCTGAAAAAATTAAACACTTCAAAGTCAACAAAAAAGTAAATGCAACTAATTTAAAAGGAATCAAAACAGTATTTGTGTTACAAAGGGCAGTGACTAAATGACCACATAAACACAACAGAATATGTGACAATAAAATCACTGTGCAGTGAAGCGGCAGTTGTGAGGCTCAACTGGTATCCACAGCAATGAGGCCAAGGTAATTCTTCAGCTTCAGGTCCAGTGTGCCAAAATACGGCAGCCATCTATTATAAGCCCCATCTGAACATAGACTGCTGCTCTCAACTTCATCCTTCTGAGGCAGTTTTTAAAATCAGGTACCAAGTACTGGTTATAGAACTCTCAACTAAACTTAACCTCCTAAAAAGAAGAGAAAAGAGCTACTGTACTTCTAATATGAAAGTGCAGAGCAGATGGAGAATTTCCCCTAAGCTTCAATTTCTTCATATTTTGAAACCATGATAGTAACAGTCTTTTCTCAGACTTACTGTGAAGATTAAATAAGGTAGGTCATGACAAACTGTGCTGAGACAAAATCTGGTATATGGTAAGGCATTCAATAAATGCCTGCAATTATCTTGTATTACCTAACCAAAGACTGGTATTAAGAACAGCCTAAAGTTAATAAAAACAGGAAATATACATTCATCTCCAATTATTTTCTGTGCAAAACCACATTTAAAGTATACATAACCCTGGCTAACACATGTATTTTTAATATCTAGCTTAACACAAGTTAGGAACCTCCGTTTATCAGTTATGGTATCCTCTGGAGTAATGGATACAGGTTTAGATAATCTTGAATCAAGGAAGGTCCTCTTTTTTGCAGCTGTTACTATGGCAACCTGCTGCCACCTGGTGGCAGTGTACTTATTAATAGAGGGAACAATCTCTAAGAAAAAAGCAAAACCTTAAAATTGACAGATAAACGAAAACCAAAATTTAAACATCATGCACTCACTCAAGAAAAGAGAGCAGTAAAAATTAAAAAGACAAAAAGGACTAAAATTGCAATTTTAGTAATCATTTTGCATATTAAATTTACCATATCATTCCAAAAAAATATAGAAGTCTGAGATCGATTCTTCCCTATTTGAAAGAAAGAAAGAAAGAAAGAAAGAAAGAAAGAAAGAAAGAAAGAAAGAAAGAGAAAGAAAAGAAAAGAAAAGAAAAACTCGCCCTTGCTACCTCATCCTCCAAGAGAATAAGCAATAGCAGCCACTGCCACCACCAGGGTTAAAACAGTGGATTACAAACAACAGTTAAAACTTTTCAGATCATTTTGCCCGATTATCATATCTTCCTCCTCACAGATTCAACACTGTGGCAAATGCTCTAAGAGAGAAATGTTTACTCTGCAATTAGAAGGAAATGTTCTTGTATTATTGGACTGTTTTCTCTTGCATGGAATAATTTACGTTTTCATTTGTCACCAGTAAAAATTTTAAGCATTATCAAACCTGCTGGAACTACGAGATCTTCTTGATGCATTGTAACTTCTGGGTGGTGTTCTGGATTTTTTATCCTTCTTTCTTTTCTCATCTATCTCTTTGGATCTGTCCTTGTCCCGTTCCTTTTCTTTGTCCTGCTCCTTTTCCTTTTCCTTGTCTCGCTCCTTTTCATGCTCTTTTTCCCGCTCTCTCTCTCTGTCTTTTTCCTTGTCTTTATCCCGGTCCTTTTCCCGGTCTTTATCTTTGTTTTTACCCCGTTCCTTTTCTTTTTCACGTTCCTTCTCCCTGTCTCTCTCTTTTTCCCTTTCCTTTTCTCTATCTTTTTCTTTCACTCTTTCCTTTTCCTTGATCTTTTCTCGGGTGTCTTTTCTCTTGTCCCTTTAAAAACAAAAATAAATAAATAAATTCACAACTAAAATTATTCTACTCCCCAAAAAGGACCTCCCTCTCTGTCCTCAACAATTATCAACACAAAACAATTTATACTAGCTTAGAATACATTACATAATAATTTCTATATAACCCAGGTGCACATGAAGCTGCTAAATGAAACAATTATCAGGCTCAATTAAGTATTTTAGAAACCTCAAGAGTCATTCTGATCATTAGACTCAAATCAATGGCAATCAATATTAATCACTACTAAAACAATCAGAAATGTTGCATGTCCCCCATTAAAAACCTAAACCAGAGTAATTTTTTAACAAATGAAGCCATAAAAAAATTAACACTAACTTCCCCAAAACTCACCGTGAACGTGAACGACTCCGTGACTTCCGTCTCTCCCTTGATTTAGAGCGCTTTTTATGTGGGCTCTTAGATCTACGTCTGTCTTTTTGTCTTGAACGTGATCTATTATGGGATCTACTCCTAAAGAAAAACAAGTTGTTGGAATGTCAAAACTTACTCTTAGAATTTGTTTTTAAAAATTAAAGATGTCTTTCAGGTAAGAAAAATTTTAAACTGACCCCAACAGTATTTATCGGTATTTTAAAATTCTCTATTATGAAATGCTTTAGATTATTTGAAATAAATTATTTATTGGCAACTTTACCAAATAGTTCATTATCCAGAACACAAAGACAGAGAAAGAAATTAAGTTCTCTTCTATGTCAGACTGAAGCTGGTACATCCAAGTGTGGCTTTTGGCTTTCCTTTGCTAATTATTATATACCAATTATTATAGGACTGCTCTCACAGAACAAGTTTTTATAGCATAAATTAAATTTAACTCTTAACTTACATGGAACAGGACAGCTTGTGGTTAAAGTCCGACAAGAAACAGTGGTTGTATGCCTGAATGGTTTCTCTAAATGGCTGTGAAAGGTTTGTCATAACATATACTAAGAATGTATTAAGGATGCACAGTACTAATTATGCTGCTAATGTGACAGGAAAGTAAACATCACTCATGAGTTAAAGCTATATATATTTAAATGTTGGATTCGCAAGACCTTGATTTTATAACTACATAAACACAGCTATTAAAAGAAACCTTTATTACTGGAATTCTTGCAGGAAAAATAATAACTCTTACTCCAATTCTGAAATTCTCTAGGCCCCTTCTTCCCACTGAAATCTTACTTATGTGACGTGACTTTTCTCATAATGTCATATCTTAGCAACTATGTATTAAAATATAACAAAACTGAATGCACACGACTTAAATAACAAAGTGATAAGACTCACCAGCTTTGGAGTGAAACAATCCGGCTCTGACACAGCTGTGCCACACACTAGCTGGCTCTGAGAACTCCGGCTAGTCATTACCCTCTCTAAGCCTAGTTTCTTCATCTATAAAGTTGGGAGTCAAAATCATACCTACATCACCTATGGCTGTCATGAGGACTGAGTCAGATGATACACGGAAAACTGCCTAGCAGTCTGGCACAGAGTAAATGCTTAAGATCCTTAATGCTCAATAACATCACTATTAATAATTAACATAACTGAAAACTTTCTATCTTTATATATTCCAAGGAGATCATATAAACTTCCACAAGTATGCTTTATACAATTAAAATTCATCTTGATAGTCATGTTTTCAGGAATTAAAAACAAAGATCTATAAAATACATACAGTTAAATGTTTGTGGTATGCTAAAAAACCAGAAAAATCTCCAATTTTCCATTAATCAAATCTTGTTTTTTAAACACATTTTTCAGTTAGTTAAAATTTGTTTTCTAATAGCTAATTCTCAACTGAATCGCTCATCTATTATATTGCTTTAAAATTATATGTTCATCTTCATACCACATTTTTGATACAAGAAGGTAAGTCACAGTTTGTAGACATCTTTATTACTAATAGTCAAGTACTAGATATTAAGGCAAAACTGAAAACTTTTTTAATCCATTTATAGGAATCCACATAATGGTAATATTTCATAAGGCCTTTGCTTCTATGTACTTAATTGAAAGTCTTAACATTTCTGTTCTAGTTAATCTTACTGAAAATATACATAGTAATTTTGTTTTCCTCCAACACTGCTTTCCAACCTTAAACAAAGAAACACCTTTTAAAAAATTAAGTGTAGCCTTAGTAAGTAAAAATTAATTTAAAAAACGCTGTTCACGTGGCTTCATATCTTACCCTATGGTCCTCAGAGTTTGAAAGTCCCAAGAGTAATTACTGTAGTATTTTAATTTTGACATTAAATACTTTCAAGTCCCTATCTCACCCACTAGTCACCTACAAGAAGTGTTTTGATTAGGATCGCTAAAAGCTTCAAGTCAAAAGCAAATCTAATCCAACCACAGATAAAGACTTCAGTGATCATTAGGAGATCTTATTTTAGCATAAAATACAAAACTGCATTTATAAATTAAACTGCAAATACAGGGCAACTTACCATTATGTCTCATCAAAGTTCAACTCTAAGTCCGCTGTTTCCCATTAAAATACTATAAAATGTCTTAAGAGTTCCCATGCTGGTCTGTCAAGGTTACTCATGAAGGTCAAAGTGACAAGAAACTCCTTCCTACCTCCTACTATAAAAGGGGAAGGAACAGGGAAAGGATGGGGGCGCAGGGGTGTTGGGCCTAGAAGGAGGGCTCTAGAAGCATCTGAGGATGCTGAGAAAGTGGAAGAGGGTAGGCCTTCAAAAGCAAAGGATTCTAAACTTACACTCCTGCTATTAAGTTTAGTGGGGGAGAGCCAGAGCTGAGGTTGGTATCAAATCCAACTAGCAGGGGAGGGGAAGACAAGAAATGCCTACCATCCCCCTCCTCCCCTACCAGGGAAGTGGTAACAGGAGTAGGTTCCTCCATATCACGATCCATAAGTCAAATGTTTCTGAGTAAGGGATTTTTTTTGTCCCCTTAAAAAAAACCTATCTTCTTTTGTATTTCTCTATGAGCTCAGTAAAGGTCACATGTGGTTCTACATATATAAAAATAGTACAAATTTATAAAATAAATCTATGTGAGTGGTAGGTATATATATATATATATATATATATATATGTATATATATACATATATGTGTGTGTGCGCGCGCATGTAAATGTCAAGAACAAGCAATTTCTGGAACACCTGAAATTACCCAGTAATTCAGGGTGGCTGAGTAGGTTAAGCATCCGACTTTGGCTCAGGTCACGATCTCACAGCTCCTGAGTTCAAGCCCCACATTGGGCTCTGTGCTGACAGCTCAGAGCCTGGAGTCTGCTTCAAATTCTGTGTCTCCCTCTCTCTCTGCCCCTCCCCCACTCTCTCTCTCTCAAAAATAAACAACCATTTAAAAAAATACAAAAAAAAAAAAAACCCAAGCAATTTCTATTGCTATGTAGTCAGACCTACAGGAAAGCATTCTCACGAATTAAGAACAATTAACAAATTACTTTAAATATTTATTTCATAAATTTCATTTTAGACTGAATAATCCTTCTCCCACTAACCCTTGGAAAGGGAAAATATCCAAATATACCTAACCTAAAATAAGACCAAGCACCTTAAAACAGAATTAAATAATATACTCCAACAGATAAATCTGAATTTACAGACCTCATCAAAGAAACAAATGTTAATCAAGTTTTGCTTTTTTCCAACCTTAGAAAACCATGAAGGTATCAGACTTGGAGCACACCTCTTGTCATCAACACAAAATGAGATTCAGGTCTCGGGTCTCTTTTTTTCTTCAGAAAAAAAGTAATTACTCTTCAGCTCAATTCTGTATTTCCTGTAACTCCTTTACCTTCATCACAGCCTGTCAACCTGCAGAAATATCCACAACCTAGTACCACTGTTTCTGTACCACTTTCCTTCTCCAACTCTGGCTCCTGTGGCACTACCTTGTTTCTTGTACGTGACACAACTTCCTTCACTTGGATCTGAACTTGCCTTGCTGGAAGGCCTTGAAGGGAAACAGTAAAACCATATCCCCAACAAGATTTTACAAACTAGTAACAGAAAAGTATATACGAGTAAATAGCTAGAAGAATAAATAGTTCACTAGAGTCAAACAAAGAACATCATATTTTTTTTTCCATTTCATTGCTTTAATTTCCTTGGTATCGTAGAAAAACAGACTAAACTGAGCTTGCTAATGAGGTTCAACATACCACATATTGGTTTCCTTTTTTCCCTCCCCTCGAGCCCTCCTCCTCCTCTAATACCACCACACACCCAGCACAGACACACACACACCTTCCTTTACCCCTTCTCTTTAGACTGCAGCATGCACGCATATATAACACGTAATTAGGATCCATTATATACAATTTCACATTTCAATATCACCTCCCTCCGTATCTTAAAGAAGACAATAGAAGTTATCACTTTAGCCACGATTCTTTAGGGTACTTCCAATCAAGGTGCTATCACAAGTTTACATTCTGAGGTCCACTCTGGACTAAATACAAAGAAACAGAATTTTTTTTAATAAAGAAAATTAAAAGGATAGAATTGTACTCAAAAGTAAGATAAATACGGACAGCTGGGTGGCTCAGTCAGTTAAACATCCAACCCTTGATTTTGGCTCAGGTCATGATCTCACGGTTGTGAGATCAAACCACTCTTTGCGATACCCACTGACATCGCAGGGCCTGCTTGGGATTCTTCTTTCTCTCTATGCCTCCCTACTCACATGCACGCATTCTCTCTCTCAAAATAAAGAAACAACAAAAACAAAAAGATAAATAGAAAAGAAACAGAGTTGAAGTATAACAGCTGGAGCTACAGCTGCCAAGTTACTCCTGTGTTTCAGCTCCCAAAGTGGGTGCAGAAGGCTCTTACCATCAATGTTACCAAAGATGTGAAGCACCCCATTTGACGCATGGGACTAGAGATAGGTAACTACTGGAAACCAAGATCTGAAGTTCTATACCCCAAGCCTTGAGAAGACAGGGGGTTGGGTGGAGTTCCCTTTTCTCAATAAAAAGAATGAAAAGTTTCTGCTGATTCTGTATGAAGGCTGGTTTAGTCGTAGAAAATTCAAGATTAGAGCACCTTACAAAAGAAAACCAACTTCTAAAACTGAAAATTAGTTGAGATCATAAAAATTATACAGTGATTAGATAAAATTTCATTCTTAACTACAGTATTATAATTAAAGCAACATTTAATGGTAACCATAATTCCTGAACTCCGCTGAAGTTTCTAAATTCTGATATTTAAAGAAAAATCAGAAAATCTTAACTATTTTAAATACAAGACAACAAAACTTTAGAAGATGATAGCAGAAATTCTCACCTGTGTTTTGACTGTGATCTTTTTCGTCTAGAATGGGATTTTGAACTAGACCTGGATTTTGAGCGAGTGTGGGAACGAGATCGACCGCCTTTTCTTTCATTGCTCTTTCCAGACTCTGGGAGGAAAAAACCACTTTGCAGTGTAAGCTCAGAACAATTAAAGATCCCAGTTAATAATCAGGCACAAGTGGAATGTACCACATATAGTGCAAGGGGCCTACTCTCTGTACATCCTCCTCCTGTGCAATTATCCTTCAGAAACATCCAAGAAAGTCATTGCATAAACTCGTTGAGTGCAGCCACCCTGCAGCAGTACATATAAACCAGATGATTATAAACAGCTGTTCGTAGTATTTTGTTGCTGCCATAACGTACGATTATAACATGTCTGTAATTCCTAGGACAGTGACTGTAAATCTTCTCTCCATTTATTTTGCTAGAGTGAAGCTTAAATTCTGAGTGCTAATTTAGAAAATGTGCTCAACTGCAAACCACCTACACATTTTTGCTTGGATTTTTAACTTTTAGTAAAAGCAACATAAAGTCTCAGTAGGTGTTCCTTTTTATCTTGCTAAAACAGTCCCTGTATTTTTTCTGAATCATGGGTTCTCTTTCCTATTTTTAAAATTAAAACTTTGAAGGAAAGTGAATCTTCTCAATTAGAACATTTTAAGTATATCTGTTCTTGTTTTTAGCTTCATAATAACATTTATACCTTGCTTTAAGCAAATCAGTTTTGAGCACTAACTGTGCTATGAAAATATAAAGAACTGATTAACTCAAGCTAATGTGCCTTAAAATTCAGTATCAAGGGAAAACATATTTGGGCTAAGCAGTTCTTTGACCTTAGACACTAGTAAGTCACTTACTCTTTCTCGAGTTTCAGTCTTCTTGTAAAATGAAGGGACTAACCAAGATAATTTCTAAAATTCCTTCCAGTTCTACGATTCTCTGATCTTAAAGTGTGACCTATGTAACAACACTATTGCCTTACCTGGTTCAATGGCTGCTGAGATAAATGACTGAGCCTCTCGCACTCGCTTCATTACTTCTTCTAACTCCTTAGCTGCAGCCTGAGGTGTCATCTCAGGGGGTTTTACTATTGCATTGTTGGAGTGATTAATTCTAAATTAAAAATATTAGCATATCACAAATACACACCATATTTTACAAAACATAAAACAAATGTTTACATGATACAAAGATTTACATATGTGAGGACAGCTTGAAAGCACACTAAGAACAATACAGCTAAATACAGAATAACCAAAACCAACATCAAAACCATAATTCTTCTCGTTATCACCCATCCTTACCTCTTGCTAACAAAGTCAAAAGCAAGGAAAAAAAGAAGGAAAAACTGAACCCTAGTTGATTTCTTTAACAACTTCAATATACCAGGACAAGTGCTTTTCCACACAACTTAGAATTATAATAAATTAAAACGCTAACACCAATATTAAAATGAATCATTTCTTGTCTTACAAGATTTTGTTGATAGCTCTGCACCCCAGGAGGTTGAAGGGGAAGCTGTGTATTATGTGCACAATTTTAATCAACTGTGAACCATGGGTGAGTCAGCTATAACTTTGAACGTGGGAAGCACCTGATAAAACTCTTCCCTAGCAGGTTACAGTGGTTTCTCTGATGCACATAAATGAATTTGGTGAGTCTCGCTTTACCCCTTTCACATTGAGAAGACAAGCATTCACTAGAAAGAGATTTTTATCCTTTCATACCTGAATCGTGATCAAGCTGTATAACTAATGCAATTACCTACGAAGTTCAGATAAAACTGCTGCCTCAATAATCTGCATGAAATAGAATTTCTGGTCTTGAACATGTAAAGTCTACACCAATTTTTCATTTTGCAAACAAGAATATCAGAAAATATTAAAATTCAAAATGTATGATTTAAAGCATTTCTAAATATTTAATACTATTTTCTTCCTGGGATCTTGGACTTACCAAAATTCTCATTACTGTATTACTCTAAGTTCAACTCTATGTTAAATCATCTGTAAGTCTAGTAGTTATAAAGCAAAACCAATCTTATAGCTTATAGAAAAAGACCTACAATCATTACACAAAGCATATAATGTTAACATCAAATCAGATCTTATAAAATAGAAAATAAGACATTGTGAAATATAACTTTAAAGACTAAAATGGTAAGTAACCCATGTATTTCATTTATACTTAACACAAAGTCTTCCTTTCCACAAATTGCCAATTACTATTAAAAAGAAAAAAAAAGGCCTTAATTATATCAGCAATACTTTAAGTTTTTCCAAAATCATTAAAATTTCTTTGTTTAGGGTTTCTTACTTCAGTGGCCTGTCTCCAAACATAACTCCATTAAAAGCAAGGGCCCTTGGTACAGAATTTTGGTCTGCAAATTCCACAAAAGCAAACCGAGTTGGCTGAGTCTCATCACCTGCCATCCGCACAAACTTCACTTCTCCAACTTGTTTAAAAAATTCAAGAAGTTGATCAGCTGTCGTTGTCTGAAGAAATAAAGTCACGCTTTAATAAAGTATACTCTTTTTTAAAAATTAGGTAAATATTATTTTATCAATCGATAGGACTTTTAAGAATGGGAAAAGATTAAGAGGTCCTACCACTCACTTTTTTCTTAAATTAGTTACCTGGGAATTCAAATTGCCAACGTAGACTGTTCTCCTAATTTCATCAATTTTGGAAGGATCCACATTTCCCATAAGCGGTGGCTGTGGTATCTCTCCAAGTGTTGCAATGTTGGGGTCTAGTGCTGCTGCTGGTATAGCTCCCAAACTGCTAAGGGAAACACCCAACTACAAAAAAACAAACAAACAAACAAACAAAAAAAAACCACATATTTTCTATTAGCATCAAACATTACCACTCTTTAATCTTAAAAAGCAACAATCAACTCAACAAGAATGGAAAGTGACTAGGTGTCCAGGTGTGTGTCTAAATTATTGAAAGTGAGGTCACAGAAGTTCTATGTACAATGAGACATGTAACCTGATTCTTTTTTTTTAAGACATAAAAATGTCTTTAATGTTTATTTATTTTTGAGAGAGAGAGAGAGAGAGATTGCAATCAGGGAAAGGCAGAGAGAGAGAGAGGGAGACACACACTCCAAAGCAGGTTCTAGGCTCTGAGCTGTGGGTACAGAGCCTGACGTGGGGCTCGAACTCATTAACCACAAGATCATGACCTGAGCCAAAGCCAGACACTTAACTGACTGAGCCACCGAAACACCCCAGAAATACAACATAATTCTTATCTGGGTATTTTAAATACTTTCAAACTTGAAACTAAAAATGAACAGTCAATTCTCATTTTCACAGTAGTTACGTACTATGAAGTTGCCATGAACTGGATTATTGAATATGTTATTACTCCTAGGGAAAATACAGGGCTAGGTTCCCGAAAGCTTCTGGTCACAGTTTCATCACCAATAACTGCATTATCTTGTTTTATGTGTTTCTAGTTAAAGACACCTAATGTAATATATAATGCTGATTCATTAACATTGAACTCACAGCCAGAAGCACTATCAACCAGTGCTTCAAATGAACCTTATCTAACCCCTGGGTTTTCTCCGTAAGGCCCATCACAGTCTTCCAGCCCCTCAGGAACATGAGACAGCACTTCAATACTTGGGTACTAGCTTAAAAAGCAAAATCAGCAAAAAAAATACACAAAAAATATTACAGCATTACAGGTAAGACAAGAAGGCAGGGTACTGCTGTCTGAACTTAGCTGAAAATGAACATATCAAGCAATTCAAATTATTCATCATTCTGTGGGTCAAGAAATGACCAGAAAGTACCGCCATGTACTGATTTTGAGGTTTCAAACATATTTTAGCTAGTTGGTGAATTCACAAGCACAGAATTCACAAATAGTGAGAATCAAGTGTATCCTGGGCATTCAGCAACAGTGACTAAGTTCTTAATAGTTAATAATCATGGCTCCTAACTTTTGCTAACCCTAGAAGATAGATATGAATATTATGCCAATTTCATAAAGAAAAGGACTTACAGAAGTTAATGATTTTCCCAAAGCTATTGAGCTACCAAGTGGTAAAGGCAGGGAACCACTATATACAGACTAAAACTAAAACAGGTACAAAGTTTACCTAAGAAAAGAAATCGAAAATATTAAACTTACTTATACTCTGGTAGGAACAGAAAAAAACCTTTGGATGATCTTTCGTAACATAATTAAATTCAGTTTTTAGTTCAAGCATTAAGGAACTTTTTTAAAATTTATTTGAGATACAGAGACACCGTGAATGGGGGAGGGGCAGAGAGAGAGAATCCCAAGCAGGCTCCATGTTGCCAGCACAGAGCCCAATATTGGGCCTGAACACACGAAGCTGCAGGATCATACCTGAGCCGAAACGAAGAGCAGTACACTTAATCAACTGAGCCACCCAGGTGCCCCAAGGAACATGTTTTTAATGTGAACTTAAATTAGAAAAGAAAGTATCTCAAAATTTGAAAATGGAAAATTCTGCAGAAAAATGCAAAGACATTTCAAGGGGGAAAAAAACACTACAACTTTCCATTTATGCAATTTAAGAAAATTTTGAGCACTGACTGTATATTATTACAAACTAAGATTAAGCAAATACCAAAGAACAAGACTTCCTAAAGGTGAAAATGTAAGTTGATGAAACAATTATCACTTACAATTGTCAAGTGGCCTGTGTATCATCTTCTTAAAACATGCCAAAGTCATGTCTTACCCTGCTTAAAACTAATCAATGGCTTCTAATTACCTTTAGAATAAAATTCAAACTCCTTTCCATGGCCAAAAAGCCCTATAATCAGTACCCTATCTCCCTCTCCAAAATCTCACAACACATACTTCCACCACCCCCATTTACAAAGCTTCAGCTATACGGACTGCCATTCTATTTATTCATTGAAAACACAAGTTTTTCCCACCTGATGCATTTCATTTGGCATTCCTTCTGCCAAAACACTCTTCTCCCAGCTTCTGCCAGTCAAATCCTTCAGGCATCATGTCACCGATCCCCTCTAAGAGGCTTTCCCTGACTTTATATAAAGCTTCATTTACTCTCTACAACATCACTGTTTTGTTCTTCATAGCACATACTATAATCTGTGGTATCTTGCTAGCAGATGTTAGATTTGTTGCTCAGCATTACCATTTCAAGTTATCATAAAGTTGTATAAAATATCTTAGTTCAGAGTGAGTGAGTGATCTCTATGAATCAAGACTACCACCACCTGAGCCTAGTTTTTCTCCATGTTGGCTTCTGTACTGAGACACTCCTTTTTTCCCCTCACCCCTTGTCTTCTATTGTATAAGGTACAAAGATGTTTGAGCATAACATTAAATTTTACTGTGCAAAAGAATTACTACATCCCATTAAGTTAAATAACAAATATGGGTCTTATTATTTATTAGTTTTGCATGGATTTAAAGCATTAAACAGGCCTTTCCAGTTGTAAATCTCTTTGATCTGCAAATTTTCTCCACTGGGACACTATACTTGGAATGGGCTTTTCCAAAGCATCTAATCCAACCCCTTTGTTTCTCAAATTTAAAGATCATTCAGTTCTTTAGGAACTTTTTTCTGTCTCTTTTTACTATACCATTCTGCATATACCTATGCTATTTAATAGGGTTGTCACTAATCACACACAGCTGTTTGAATTTTAATTAAAATTCAGAGCCTCAGCCACAAGAGCCACGATTCAAGTGCTCAACAGCCCCATATTACTAGTGGCTACCACACTCAATAGTACAGACACAGGCATTTCCAGCACAGCAGAAAGTTCTGTTGAATGTGGATGCTCTGTAACAATAAAATTACCCTTCTTTTTATTAGTCTACTTTCCAGGTCTGGTCTAAGAAACCGAAGTATTTACCCTTTTGGTCTTTGATGGGGTAAAGATGATCTAGGTTCCTGATGTAACACTTTTGCTTTCTGACATAGAAACTATAGTCTCCCTGAAGACGAAATATTCTAGGCAGAGATGAATACAAAAGTACAAAAGTCCTAAGGCAAAAATATGCTTGTAACGTCCAAGAAACAACAAAACCAATATGGCCAATACAAAGTAAGCCAGGAAAACAGGTAGAAAAAAAAGTCAGCGAGGTAAGCAAGCACCAAGTCATAATGGGCCACTTCCCTGTTTTCTAACTCAGTATGTTCTTCATAAATTAAATTTCAACGTAATAGATATCTACAGCTGAAATAAGAGAAAACCATTTCCTCTCAAGGCAACAAATTAAATAAAAACTTTAGGCTATTGCTAAATAAACCCTAAGAATTTTCAAGATAAGAACACAATATTGTCTGAGAAAAAGGTAATGATCCAGAAATTGATATGGTAAAATATACCACAAAATAACCAAATTAAAATTTTCTAGAAAATTTCTAAAAAGCCCAACTCAAATGATCAGATGTTCTATTAAAAAGCATTTTCCCAGGGGGCGCCTGGGTGGCTCAGTTGGTTGAGCGTCTGACCTCAGCTCACGTCATGATCTCGCAGTTCGTGAGTTAGAGCCCCGCATCGGGCTCTGTGCTGACAGCTCAGAACCTGGAGCTTGCTTCAGATTCTGTGTCTCCTTCTCTCTCTGCCCCTTCCCCACTCATGCTCTGTTTCTCTCTGTCTCTCAAAAATGAATAATTGTTGTAAAAAAAAAATTTAAAAAAAAAAAAAAAAAGCATTTTCCCGGGCGTCTGGGTGGCTCAGACAGTTAAGCATCTGACTGGCTCAGATCATGATCTCATAGTGTGTGGGTTTGAGCCCCGCGTCAGGCTCTGTGCTGACAGCTCAGAGCCTGGAGCCTGCTTCGGATTCTGTGTCTCCCTCTCTCTATGCCCCTCCCCTGCTCATGCTCTGTCTCTCTCTCTCTCAAAAATAAACAAACATTTTTTTTTTTAAAAAAAGCATTTTCCCACCACGGATCACAATGCAGGTCTCCAGCAGAACAATCTTATGCAAACAAGAACTAAAATTGTGCATTTCAAAGTTTCAAAGACCACTTTTATAACCTGATTAAACAAACTACCATCCCAGGACACCTAGCTGATACAGTCAGTAGAGCCTGCTACCCTTGATCTCCACGTCATGAGTTCAAGCACAACAGGGGCAGAGCTTACTTTAAAAAGAGGGGGGGGGGGGGGGCGGTTTGTAGTTCAGTTGGTGGAGCATGCAACTCTTGATCTCTGGGTTGTGAGTTCAAGCCCCAGGCTGGGTGAAGTGATTACTCAAAATTTTTAAAAATAAGAAAGAAAAGAAGTATTTAAAAAAAATTACTACCATAAAGCTAGTATTAGTTCATCCCCTAATAATCTAAAACCACAAAGCTAAGATACAACTTGCAATTAAGGTGAATTTTGTGTTTTGGCTTCCATTAATTTTTGAAGAAAAATGACCCCTCTTTAAATTAAATATGACTGGAATCTTTTACATAAAAACCAAGAGCCCAGGAGCACCTGGGTGGTTCAGTTGGTTGAGGAACTGAGCCTTGATTTGGGCTTAGGTCACGATCCCAGGGTAGTGGAATCAAGCCCTGTGCTGAGCATGGAGCCTTCTGGAAACTTTCTCTCTCTCGCCCTCTGCACTGTCTCCCACCCTCATGCACATGTTCTCTCACTCTAAAAACAACAACAAAAACAAAAAGCCAAGAGCCCAGTAGCAGCAAAATCTTTTTTAACCCTTCCTAGAAATTACAAAAACAGTAATAAATTCCTATTTAATTGTACACAGTTAATGAAAAAAATATTTCTGCCATGTTTTTATCTTGTTACATTTTCTCAATATCAGACAAATATTTCTCAGAGGTTTTTTTCCTGTTACAAAGCTATGGGTCATTTTATTTTACTTTAATAGATTTAGTCTTCATGAAATGGGGAATACAGTTACCTAGATTTCCCAATTCCCCATGTGATCTAAAATGCTAAGTGTCAATAACTGATTTTCTAATGAATAATCTATTTTAGTTCTCAAATTTAAATGAATGCCAATTACTTCAGAAGTAATTCCGAAAGTCAGTTTAAACTGTCAGTGATAACGGGGGCGGGCGCGCAGCGAATTATTTTAAGTAGACATTGTGAATCCTTTTCATTTAAAAAAAAATTTTAAACAGAAATAATTTTCTAAGCTCTTTATTCAGCTAATTACACAAGTAAACATAAATCCGTTTCAAAAAAGGGTGTGTAATACTTACTGTAGTCAAGGGATTTGGGGTCGGAATGGGAAGCAAGCCTGCACCAGGCATGAGACTTGTCATGGTTGGAGCAGGAGCCAATAAAGAGAGAGCTTTGGATTCCTCTGGAATTTTACCTGCAGAGGCAAGTTCCAAACATTATGGAAAGCAGAAACACCACACAAACTTTACACTATGATTTTACAATTACCCTTGCACTTAAAAAATAATAATAATAAATGAATCTATCTATCAGATCTGTATAAAGAAATAAATAAGAACTTAAGTCTTTCCTTTTATCCTGCTCTACTAGGAAAAATAAAAGTGAGCAAAACTTCAAAGACTAACAATCTCAATAATGGAATATTATTTTAAAAATTGAATAATGTAGACAATTATTTAACACTTTGAGCTATGGGTCACCTGTACTGGAAACTTAATGTTCATGAACCAAACGATATCAAGCATGGACGCTTTCCCAGGACGGTGTTTTCGCGGTGATCGAAAGTTGTGTTACACATGACAACCGTTCGTGTTGGCTGCATCACTAATAGCACACAGAACATCAGATACAGAAAAGAAGAACATTTTTTAAAGTTTAATCCCCAGAAATGGCAAATAACCAAATTAGTCAAAAAAAAGAAAAGGAAAAACAAATATGTGCGAATTGAAATTTGTTCCTTAATGGGTGCCCCTATCCTGGTTACTAAACCTACCTACTGGTGATGCAAACAATTTTAATAACCTCCCAATAAATTCCATTCACTTTCAAGTAGACAGAAAAAAACAAAAGCCTACTGCAAGCAATCAGCTTCAATTTAAAAGGAAGCCTACACCCATCCAGTTAAGAAGACATCTCACCAACTAGGTCAGAGACGCCTAAAAGAATCCAATTTCAAAGAATATGCCTTGGGAAACTTAAAATTTTTGAGAATTCCTAACAATAAAAGTTCCCTAGTCTCAGGAAACTTCTTAAACTCCTGACTTTTAGAACCAATTTATGTATCCTTGTCTGAAGAGGGGTGGTTAATGCCTAAATGTCTTGCTTGTAAGTATCTTAACTGCCTAATAAAAATAACGACAAAAACACTAAAATATTCTTAGACACTAAAAAAAAATCCCTACAATTAACGAAAAATCTACTCTAAAAATAAGTTCAATTTGCTGTATTTAACTATTAAAATCTAACCAATTAATTTTGATAAGAACTGCAACTTTCACACGTTTTCCCATTGTGTCCTCTCTCTCTTACCGCCCCCACTAAAATAGTTCTTAAAAAGTTGACTACAGATACCGATTTTAGAAGAACTACTTATAATTATGTGGTAGTTGGCTATACACTTCCATTATGGAGTCTTCAAAAATAATTTAAAACACAGCGTACAAAGTCACACTAAATTGGAAATAGCATATGGAGTACGTTTCAAAAGCACCATGCTGGATTTTAGAGGAAGAAATTCTATTTAAAACAACCAGATGTGCAGGATAAATCTCTAAACAATATTATCTGCATATACCTCTAAACATGGATGGAATTCAAGACAGCTTTTAAATTTTGCTTTAAATAATGGTTACACCTTTGTTATAACAGAAAAATTACATTTGATTAGCTTTAACAAACGCCTTTTCCCTAAATTTTGCAACATCTAAGTCTCCATTAATGTACTAATTTCAAAAACAGTTATCTTTTTATTTCATGTAAATTCTGCACAAGCAAAGAATTTTTTAAACATGCATAAATATAAATAAAATGTAGGTAGGCCTTACTGAAGACATGAAATAACAAGAATTTATTTTATGTTATTGGTATTAATACACGTATCTGTATACCCACATATATACTAAGCTATTTATATTACTACCGGACCCGTTTTACGTATTATTTTTCAAATGCTTATAAAACCTGAACACATCTTGATAAATCAATTGAGGTTCCACAGTGTAAATCTTATGCTTCATTACCCTAATGTGTGCACCCAAAAAACAAACAGTTTCAATCTGTTAATGTTCCCAATTTAGAATTACTTGTCAATTAAATAAGCATAAGTGTCTATAAGACAGTGTAGTAAAACTACACAACGTATTCAACACAGGCTAAAAGTTGAATACTTAATATTACAAAGACTCACTTATCAATAGGTTGTCTGACCCTCACTGCCTATCACAGTAGTAATAAACTATTATAAATATTAAGTCTAACCATAGGTAGGCACATGTTTTAATTCTAATTACCATTAAAGATCCTTTAAGAAAAAAGTCCCATTGCTTAACTTCCAAGACAGAATTCTATCAAAATTACCTTCCAAATACTATCAGAGTATATCAAAGTATAAAGCAAACAAGCATTTAGCATTTTTCCCAAACTATACTCCTCAAAAACAACTGAGAGGAAAAAAAGCTCTCATGGTATTAAAATTAAGTACTAATCCTAATCCTCAGATTCCATTTAGAAGCTGGTAACATCTGAAAATTTTTCAAAAAATTCAAGCAGAGAAACATACATGAAAGTAAGTTTTCAAGCTTCTCAAATATCCATTCCCCATGCAGGCAAGTAAAAGTCTTCATAAGTCAAGGAAGTAAGTTATTTTCTAAGAAATTTACTTATTTTCCTTGAGGATTTTGTATGCTTAAAATTCTACAGGGAAGGATGAAAATTAAAAACTATCAGTTGGTTTTTATGAAAGATGTAGATTTGGGAGAAAAACTGCAAAAATGTTGCAATGAGATCACAAAATGTTCCTAACAATTCTACCAGTGTTTTAGTGTTTTGAGAACAAAATGTACCTGTGCAGTCTATAATACCAATTAAGACTCACTGAGCTTCACAACACTGTATCCTAGTTTACTATGAAAATTTACTTTATCGTAAGCTTGAGCTCTGCTAATCATCTCCCAATATAATCTGCAAAGCAATGTTATGAACCCTTAATGGAATACCATTTACAAAGAACTGGAAAACCAGCTCACAAGTTAAAGTGAAAGAGATTTAACAAAACAAAAACAAAAACAAAAACAAAAACAAAAAAAAGGGACAAAATAAAGAAAAAGAAATGAAATTAAAGTAAAACAATAAAAAACAGAGACAGGGCGTCCATCTTCTGCGGTTCAGACTCCGATCTCATTTCCCCAATGAAGGTTTCACTTGACGGCAGGTTTAGTGGCATGGCAAACAATGCCTAACTCAGGCAAGTGTAACAGGTCTGCCTTGGCCAGTCTAGTCATCTAATAATGCACAAATATCACATAGAGAAAACATACAAAACCAAATTAATAGTCAAAATCCATCTACCAGAAAATGTGGACATAAAGTTACGACTGATGATTAGGCTTGACACCCTTGTTATGTTTGACCTTATCTTTTTCTAAGTGTTAACATTTATAAAAAAGAAATCTGAGATGCACGCAACAACAAAAAGGTCATATCTGGACAAGTATAATGAAAGTATATTTTATTTTGAAATGGCATGTTTCATTAACAATAGTTAATGCTTACTCTGTATGAAACTTACACACCAAACATTACTTATACAGCTTTAGGAGCTTGTTACAAAACTGTCTGCATTACAAAAACAGCAAATTGAAAGAAACTGAAAAAATTTTCTTAAAACTGTTTCTATGGTTTTCTCATTTCTTTCATAATGCTGTTTCTGTAACATCAAAGAAAGAATGCAGTCAGTAAAGTGAACACAAGAATGTTTACAGCACCCATCTCCTCTAAGAGAACTTACTCCACGGGAACTCTTCACTTTGGTTTACTTCAAACTCACTTTGCTACTCTTTTAGTATAACAATACATCATAACTTTGCTTGCAGCACATAATCAGATCTTTGACAGCTCACTGTAACATAGTTCAGTTTCTATAAAGTCATTCTGTGGTATTTAGTTAAACTAGTGAAAAATGTGTATCTGAATGCTTCTCTAATACCAATTATTTTATCAGTCAGTGCTCTAAAATACAACTAAACTTTCATGTTCAAAACCAGTGAAATGGTCTCAAAATGGCAACACTAGTAATACTCCAAGGGCTATTATAATAAATTTGCATTTATTAATCTTTATTAAGCAAAACAAACAAAAAAGGGAACCTCTTACACACCCATAACCTTGAAAACTTATGACAAATAATGGTCTGGGCTTCTCAAATAGATGAAAAAAATCAATGGAATATAGCAAGGTTCCAACGAAGCAACACTGGTAAGTATTCTTCCTTCCAATTCAGTAATGAGCTAACATAATACAAGGTCCTGTGCTGGTGATGGCATAATTTTCAGATATGATTAATATTCCCAATTAATATAGTAATTTCTTTTTTCCTGTGCAGTTTACCTGGCATGAAACTGATAGGAACTTGATATGCACAACTAAACCATTACCAGCTTTCTCACCTTGCTCTCCAACTGTGGGCTCACGGTCCACTTACAGATCAACAGGTAAGGATGGGGATTCAACAAATAATTACCTTTAACCCATTTTATTCCCCCTACTCCATTCTAACCCCCAGGCATGGGAAAAGACTTTCAAATTTATCTGAAAAAAAATACAGAATGTGCTATTCTGGGACTTCAAAACCAACAGAATGGAGCTCACTGTATCTAACTATAATGTTTCTGACATCCCAGAATAGGCATTCTGAAATAAGTATAAAACTTTCGAAGCACAGCAATGTTCACCATATACTAGGTTATTTTAATATTAACCTGGTTTCTAAAAGACGTTTTTAAAACATGACATGAAAATTCATTAAATTGTTCCAGGTAAATTTTTTATGTTGTAAAACATTTACCATCCGCTAGTGAAAACAAGTTTTAAAGACATTTAAATTATAATAACCTATTCTAAAATCCATGTACACATGCCATAATCTGTACTCTGAATAAAAGTTAATCACACACTAGAACTGTCAAATTCAGCACAGCCTATTATATGTGAATGACTCTGTAAATAGAAGTTACTAAAAAATAAGTATTAGTAATAATTAGCTCTGTAAGGCTTTGGCCTTGTTCCCATCTTCAACATCTATTTCCTTGATGGAGGCCTTGGAAAATTACTTTCCATTATTTTTCTTCAATTACCCAACCTACCCTCCAAGAAAAGCTAGCCATTAAAATAAAAACATAAATTTCAGTTGCACAGCAGTCACACTGAATATAAAATAATGGTCCCAGCAACAAGGTGAATTACCTTACGAGGATACGTCAGAGATTAAATTATGAATATTTTTCTTACAAATACCATTTATCCCCAATTTGGCAAAATGCATAGCTTTTATTTATGTAATACAATTAATATTGTATATATAGGGGCAAATGCTCACTTATTTACATATTAAAAATAATTTCCCCTACCACCCTAATATTTTAATTTCAGAAAGCTTCGTTTACAACTTGCAAATTAACTACAAAAAACAAATGCAAACCAGAGAAGCCAAGTAATTCATGAAATTTTTAAATGTTTGGCTATTAAATCTCAAGCATATAGAAGTAATAAGTCAACCCTTTAATATATTTTATTATTAGGTAAAAATTATTTCCTTCTCCAAATTTCATTCATACACACACACACACACACACACACACACACACAACAGAGTACTATCTACCTACCAATTTCTAGGAAAGCCAAAGGTAGTAACACACAGGACAGAGATTACAATAATAGAAAAAAAACACATAAGATACCAACCTTCTGCACAAGGTACAACTATCAGAGCTCTGTCAATAAAAACCGTGTTAGTTAGATGCTGGGCCACGCCAACACTTGATGGGTCACGAAACTTAACATAACATACTTTGGAAGAAAAAGCAAGAGGTGTGTTGCTGCAAAATAAAAAGAAAAACAATTGGACTAATAAACATTTGGCTGATTTTATCATTTTCATTTGAAATTTCTTCTCAGATCTTTACACAGTCTTACATAATCAAGACAAGAATTTTGACTGCTAAGAATCATTAAGACATGAAAATGTCTTTCATTAATGTCTTCATTAAGACATGAAAACTTTGCCTTTTTAAAGTTTTTATTCAAATTCCAGTAAACACACAGTGTAGTATTAGTTTCAAGTTTACAATATAGTGATTCAACACTTCCATACATCACCTGGTAGTGCTCATCACAGCAAGTGCACTCCTTAATCCCCATCACCTATTTAACCCATCCCCTCACCCACAGCCCCTCTGGTAACCATTGGTTTGTTCTCTGTAGTTAAGAGTCTGTTTCCTGGTTTGTCTCTTTTTCCCTTTGCTCATTTGTTCTGTTTCTTAAATTCCACATATGAGTGAAATCACAAAGTATTTGTCTTTCTCTGACTTAATACGCCCAGCATAAGACTCTTCAGCTCCATCCGTTTCATTGCAAATGGCAAGATTTCATTCTTTCTTACGCCGAGTAATATTCCACTGTGTGTGTGTGTGTGTGTGTGTGTGTGTGTGTGTGTGTGTGTCTTCTTTGTCCATTCACCAGTCAATGGGACATTTGTGCTATTTCCATAATTTGGCTATAAACATCGAGGTGCATGTACCCCCTCTGAATCAGTATTTTTGTATTCTTTGGGTAAATACCTAGTAGTGCAACTGCTGGATGGTAGGGTAGTTCTATTTTTAACTTTTTGAGGAACCTCCATACTGCTGTCTGGAGTGGCTGCACCAGGCAAAATTTAGTCTTTTAGTGGTAATTTGCCTGCAAAGGCTGACAGCAATTTAGGAAGGCCTATCACCTCATCGGTAAAAACTTGACATGTAAATTAATGAATACTTAATCAGAGTGAAACATGAAAACAGTTGATTTAACCCAAAAATGTTCAACCAGTACATCATCAATAGGCACAATCACTTTATAGAAGCCCCAATCCTCAAGACTTCAAATTTTGTAACCATTTCCAACCCTTTTAACTAAAAACTTCACCAGAATCTTACAGACAGACATCATGATATGAAAAGTAAGGTGTTTTGCATATACTACACTGCTTTACCCTAGGCAGCATTGCGATGTTCCAGACAAAAGATTTTACAAACAAAATTTTACATATTTTATACCCAGAAAAGCATAGACCCTTCTAAATCCTATCAGATTCAGTTCAGTCTGGCAAGCCAGACACAGCCCAGATGAAAGCAGTTTTTCCAGAATATGAATCCATCTTTTTAGATTCCAAAATATCTCAGTGATGATCATTTTGTCAATCTGTCCACGATTATGTTCAATTAAAGTCTAAAACTGTCTTTAGCAAGGACAAAAGCCACCAAAGCTAAATATATACCTAATATATAATATATACAGTCCTTTAAAGCATTAAGATATTTCACACTAAAACAGGAGAGACCAGGGGCTCCTGGGTGGCTCGGTCGGTTAAGCATCCGACTTCAGCCCAGGTCATGATCTCACATCTCGTGGGTTTGAGCCCCGCATCAGGCTCTGGGGTGACAGCTCAGAGCCTGGGGCCTCCTTCAGACTCTGTCTCCCTCTCTCTGTCCCTCCTGCACTTGCATTGTGTCTCTCTCTCTCTCAAAAATAAACATTAAAAAATAAACAAATAGACCATTTGAAAAATATCATATTTGCGTTGTGCAGTAAGGCATTTACTTTACAAAAGAGATCACGGAAGTTGACCATAATCCTAACCTGAGTAAATGGCAAAACTGGGACTTCAGTCTAAGTCTAATCATCTAAATCCAAATCTCATGCAATCTTATTCATTCAACTAATATAGAATTTTAAAGCATCTTAATGTACTATTTAATTAGCAATTCCACAAACAGAAGCCATTTTCAAAATTAAAAAAAAAATCTTTTACATAAAGCAACATATCCATCTTGACAATGGTTAAATATACATATTAATGCTATTAATAAAATACTGTGATAACAGAACACATTTGCATTTAGAACTTGAAACTATTTATACTATTAACATAAACAGGGTAATACAAGTTAACAAAATCAAACTACCTCTTTCTCAACCAACCCAACCCAACTGACTCCTACCTAAGCCTATCCAGTTCAGGCTTCCACAGGCACTCTCCAACAATGACTACCCTAACCCCCAAACAACTAAGACCAGCACTTTATGAATCTGTCACTGAGGTAAAAACATTCACCTCTAGACTTAACTCACCTTTACATTACCCAATCTCCAACTGAAGCCTTTCTTGAGCTTTAGACTCCCAGACCTAGGTGCTTGCTGGAATACTGCACCGTGATGGTCACAGGGCCCATCCCCCAAAACTTATTGGGTCTAAAATAAATTCATCATCCCTCTTTCTCACCAATCCTGGTCCCTGTCCTATACTTCATCTCTCAGTTAAAAATATCACTGTATTACCCATGTTATGAATCTGGAGTCACTAAATGTAACCGTCATTAGTACAGTTCCCTAAACATTTCCAAATCTCTTCTGACTACATGGTAAAAATCCATGTCTTTGTTCCCTGAAGTTAAGTGTGGCTATGCAACTTGTTTTGGCCAATTAAATATGAGCAGAATTGACATTCAGGAGCTTTAAGGGCCACCACTTGGCTCTTTTCCTCTGCCACAGTGACTAGCCACATTCAAGAAATGGGTGGCTGCTACATCAGCTTCATCTCTGAGTGAGCAACCACAATGGGTAGAGTTCCCTACTCTGCAAGCTTAGCATTAAAAATAAGCTGTTTTTACAAAACTACTGAGATTTGGGGGTTGTTTCCATATTTGACCCTCACTCTTCATCTTCTTCATAAAGTCCTGTGAAGACTGCATCCCAAATATTTGTACACATTAATCCCTTTATCACTGTCATTATCAAGGCCTTAATTCAGGCCCTCATCATTTCTCACCCAGATTACTTACAATGGCTCTTAAAAAAATCACAATGACTCCAATCTGAACTACTTAATAATGGTCTTCACAAAAGCTGCCAGAGTGACCTTTCTAAACCCTAAATTTTGTCATGTCATTCCACACTGCTTAAATTTCCTCAAAGACATGCTTCTGTTATTGCTTTATCATATAAATTCACCCCAAAATCCAGGCATTAGAAATATTTGTGGTTTCCAGAACACATTCTGAATATCTGGGTCATCTTTGCACATGTTGTTCCATTTGCCTATGATATCCTACCTCTCCTTTTTGAATGGTAATTCCACTTTTATTCAAGGCTCAAGTTTACAAATCTTCTGGAAAGCCATTTTAAGATAACAAAGTGATTAGGTAGGTACCCCCCACATTCTATACACTTTCAGCACAGGCCTTAGCAGTTTCCTTAGATGAAACCCTCATCAGATTTTGGGAGGCCTCTAGTCACAGTTGATTAGTCACATGACACAAAGGCCCATTTCACTGGCTAACCAATAGCTTATCATTTGGATGGCTTGATCAAATGAACTTGCAACAATCAGATTCTCTCTCTTGGGCTGAAAAGTCACTTAGAGTCAGGGCTTGGGCCAGATGCCAGATGACCAAGTACAAAATAAGTCCGCAAAGAAAATAGAGCAGATACACAGAAACAAACTGAGCAGACAATAAAGCCTGTGAGAAGAGGCAGATAATCACCTTGGATGCTGGTATCTTTCTGGTTCCCAGTCCCAGTTCCCATGAGGCCTACTTAATTTAGAGATATATCCATCTTTTTAATAATTTTACCTCTTCTTCAGCCAGACTGGGTAGCAGTGTTTCTGTCTTTTGCACCCCCCCCCCCCCACAAAACCATATAATTACAATGAACTACTAAAGCCCTAGCAATTACAAGCACACTCTCTTTTAGCACTGAAATCTGCAAAAGCCTAACTGCCAGTGAGATGACATGCCTAAACTGACAGGTCCTTTTATGAGAGAATGGAAACCTAAATCGTCACTGTTGAAAACTAAAAACGCACTTTCCGATACTCCTACTTAAAACCACATCGCTTCAAATTTAAAACATCCAGAGGAGTAGGAAATAGGACACTGGTTAGTAAAGCAACTACACGTTAGGATAGGCTACCATTACCAAGATTTGAGAAGCCCAGGAAGTGGGTTGAAAAGGTTGATCTGTTCTGACCCAATATTATCATAGGAATGTGGATACCTAGATATGGTTTACATAGTGCTCTAAGAAATTCTCTTTATCTTCATCTCCAATTACCTTTCTAAAAATACAAAATAAAGTTCAGCTTACAGTTAACACTTTAATTTTGAACATTATAATCTAAAATACAATACAGTGGCAAGTCTAAATACACATGATGAATTTCTCAACAAATGTGTATTTATAAGTCATTGTTTCCAATTTTTATACTTAAATCTTTCATTCTAGTAAGTGTAAACTTTTAAATAGACTTAGTTTTTAATTAAATAGAATTATTATTTTTAAACGTAATTTTGGAGGCTCCAGAGTGACTCAGTTGGCTAACCATCCAACTCCTCATTTTGGCTCAGGTCATGATCTCACAGTTCATGAGTTCAGAGCCCAGCATTGGACTGTGCTGACAGCACAGAACTTGCTTGGGATTCTCTGTCTCCGGTCTCCCTCTCTCTCTGCCCTTACCCCACTTGCTTGCACGTGCTCTCTTTCTCTCTCAAAAATAAATAAACTTTACAAAAATAAATAGATAAATGTAATTGGGACCTAGAATTTTAATTTTATGTAATTAAAAAAAAAATTTTTTTTTTTTTGAGGGAGAGAGAGAGAACTGGGGACAATAAAGCCTCTGAGGGTTCGGTCCCACGACC